ATAATCTTTTAAAAATTTATTTATTTGGTACAGGGTCTCGCTATGTAGCTCAGACTCATAGTGATCCTCCTGTCTCAGCCTCCCCAGAACTGGGATTACAGGCATGGGTCACCATGCCCAGTTTCAGGGGCTGCCTTGGCACAGGGCCAGCATGACACATGGTACTGGGGATCAAACCCAGATCCTTGCATTTGCCAGGCAGGTGCTTAGACTGATGAGCTATTTCCCTGGCCCCATATTACATTTTAAATCTTATTTATTTATTTGGTACAGGGTCTCACTATGCAGCTCAGACTTGTAGTGATCCTCCTGTCTTAGCCTCCCCAGAACTACCATGCCTGGTTTCTGAGGCCAGCATTGGGGGGCTGCACTACATGTGGTACTAGGGATCGAACCCAGGCCCTCAAGGTTGCCAGGCAGACACTTAGACTGCCGAGCTGTCTCCCCAGCCCATTTTATATTATATTTTAATTGAGATTTCATATACTATATACATATATTTTATTTTTTTTTAATTTTTTTTTTATTTATGAGAGAGAGAGAGAGAGAGAGAGTGGTGTGTGTGTGTGGCCAGCTCAGCCCACCAGGGGGCAGGCTGGCTGGCATGTGGTGCTGGGGGATTGAACCGTGGTCCCTGTGCTTCGCTGAACTTGTTCTAAGTAGGTGCTTTAGACCACTGAGCCATCTCTCCAGCCCTATATACATATATTTTAAAGTAGAATTTTTTTTTTTCAGAACTGGGGATTGAACTCAGACCCTTGCGCTTGCCAGGGAAGCACTTATTCTACTGATCCATCTCCCCGCCCCCTAAAGTAGAATGTATACATGATATTATCAGTGCTCTTTGGGGTGATGTTGCATAACTTTTTACCTATCTTTTTTTTTTTTTTTTTTTTTTTTTGTGGAACTGGGGTTTTGAACTCAGGCCCTTGTGCTTGCCAGGCAAGCACTTATTCTACCGAGCCATTTCCCCGGCCCCTTTTTTACTTACCTTAAACTATAAATGAAATCAAAACAAATGATACATTGGGAAAACAATTACAGTCCCACAGTGTTACTACAGTGTTGTCTCTTCCCATATTTATTTTTCAGGAAGGCAGAAAGAATGTCAGGTCCAAGATGTGGCAGATGATCTCAGTTGCAAATGGGGGTAAAATGCTTACTGATCAAGGTTCCATGTCATTTAGAGAAACTGGAAGGGAAACTCCAGGCCTCCTTTCGAATGTTAGAACTTGTGATTCTCAATATGTGCTTCAGAGTGTGTCGGAGCTCAGGCATATACCCATGCCCACCGAGTGCCGGTCGTGTGCCTAGCACCAGGTCTAGTATATGGAGAGCCCTAAATAAATGTCTGCAGGTAGATGAATGAATAGCATTCCTTCACCATATATACTGCTCGTGCCCTTTAGTAGATGAGCATGGTTTTCTGCGTGTAACGAAGCGCACATCAGACAAAAGGCTCAGGCCTATTGCTGTCCTGCCAGGAGCTCGGGCACATTAGGTCACACAGGGTTCAGCTGGTCTGGAACCTGCTCTTCAGGCCCAAACTATACTGACGATATGTGTATGTCATATGGAAAGTTTGAAAGCGCCCAGTCTGTCCTCCTACCTAACCTGGGTCAGATGCTAAGGAACAATCAATCCTCCTTCCCTAGTCTTGGGAGATAGGATGTCTATGTCACTGATGTCTATGACATTGTCCATGATGTGCAACAAGAAAGCAAGCACTGCTGAGATGTTTATCACTTCTCTAAAATGTGATTTAATTCAACCTTCCCAAAATTCAATCTCTCTCAATCAAAGTATATATTTTACAACAATCTTCAGGAACAAAAGAGCTAACAGTCTCCCACTCATGCACAGTTCACATAAATGGCACCCAAGAGTGGACTGTTGGTCAGAAATAAAGCTGAAGACTTAAGGAATTCCCGAGTGGTCCTTGAGCAGAGGGTTCTTCTCCTGGTTCCCAGGGAAGAACATGGCCTTTGTGTGGTGGAGGATGACATGCAGGCCATGGCCTTTGACCACCTTCTCAGTACTGTTTTTAATTGGTTTGTATTCCTTGTGTTTTCTGAAAACAATGTGTTGGACAATTATTAAAGAGTAAGTCTTCCACAGAAACAAATACTTCCTACAATTATTCTTATGTCAAGTTCAGGTGGCTAATGCCATTTAATCTAATCTATAGCTTGTAACATGCTAGTAGCTTATAAAAATGTAGTTTTTTTATACAAGAAATGTGCCTGTTCCTTATGATTTGAGATTATATGTTAAATATTACATAAACATGATTTTGTAAAGCTATGTTTGTTAACATTTTTAGGATTTAAAAAAATAGCAAAATTAAGAGGCTAATTTAGTATTTATGGTTCCATGGAAGATTTTCTTCTCATATACAAAATATTTTAAAGAAACAAAAAGGAGAATGGCATATTTGCACAGAAATATGGTATTTACTTTTGATAACATACAATGGAGTTACCACTAGAAACTCACCTGTACATCAAGATGGCCGTCACGAGGACCACAACGGCCAAGCAGCCACCAGCGATCAGGGCAGCACTTACCATTCTGAAATGGGGGGCTGCATCTTAGAACAGAAACAAGACCATGTCAGTTGTCTCCCAAGCAGAGGACACGCTGCTTGTAATACCATTAAATGAAAGAGGGAGGGAGCTATCACAGAGACATACGGCTCCCTCTGGGCTTCAGGTAATCATTTCTATTAAACAATAGGTCATCTCTGGGTCAGCTTATCTTCCATTTAGAGAAAGAGTTAGCATGTCTTGAACACTGTGTTAGGATCAGGGAGAGCGATGTCACAGTCTAGAGACCCTACTTGGGTCTCCACTGACCCAGCAGTACCAGGTGGCCCTGGGCTTTTGTGAGCCGTAGGGCATACCTCAGGCCTCATCTCTCATTTCCACCTGCTCACTGAGCTAAACACCTAGGAGTCATCCTTATTCCTTGACCTCCATGTGCCCTGCTGGAATGGCCTTCCTCTGGGTCATGGAAGGTCCCCTCTTTTCTGATGCCTGCCAAGGTTTCCTAAATCTACTAGGTCATGTTCTTTTGTTACCACTGTACTTTGTCTCTTTCTATGCCTGGATCATCACATTGTGCTGCCTGCCTGCCTGCCTTCCTTTCTTCCTTCCCTCTCTCCCTCCCTCCTTGTTTTCCTCCCATTCTCTCTCTCTCTCTCTCTCTCTCTCTCTCTCTCTCTCTCTCTCTCTCTCTCTGAGGTACTGAGGATTGACCCCAGGACCACACATGCTAGGCAAATGCTCTACCACTCAGTTAACTCCATCCCTCATTAGAATTTCTTTAAAATTTGATTTTGAATTAGGGTTTTGTAGGCTGTCCTTGAGTTTGTAATCCTCACGTCCCTGCCTCTCTCAAGCACCTGGAATTACAGCTGCCTGCCACCACACCTGGCCATCATTATTCCTTTATATGTAATTCTCTTTTACTAGGCTGTGAGAACCTCCCATTGCTTTCTTTCTTCTCCTGCAACCCAGCCAGTCAATCCATCTGTCTCTATGCCACAGTGCAACAGCTTACCTACTTTTCCTTTGTATCCTCTGCTACCTGTCTTCCAGGCCCTCTTAGTTATTTACTTGTGTTCATTCTTACCTTCCAATGACCTCTTCTCTACTGTGCTGTTGGGACAATGTTCTGAAGCACCAACCAGATCACACATCTAACTGGCCAGCGGCTCCGGTTGCACACAGAATAAAGCCCAGGCCTGAGGATCTAGATGTGCCTTTCTTTCTTGCAGTGTAGGTCTCAGCTCACAGGAGCCCCTTCCTGAGGGGGCCACTGGGGGCCAGGACTTCTCCCAAACCAAGCGCTGACTCTGTCTCCTCCACGTCGCCCTCCTCCATGTTCACCCTCTCCAGCACTGACCTGCTTTTATTCTTCACAGTTCTATCTTGTTTGTTTATAGCTTGTGTTAAACTGAACTAGGAGGAAGCTGCTGGCCCAAGTCTATTGAAGTATTCTGAATTTCTACCTAAACAACTGCTTTTTTTTTTTTTTTTTTGTCTTTTTAAGACAAGGTTTCACTATGTAGTTCAGGCTGGCCATGAACTCACAGAAGTCTTTTTGCCTAAGTCTCCCCAAGTGCTGGGATTACAGATGTGCACCACCACACCTGCCTAAAACTGCAGCTTAATATTTAAGCAAATTGAAAGCTAATTTAGGGGAATATTTAGTAGTCAGTCACAGGCAGCTGATTGATGGGCGCCATGACCAAAGCAGGCAACTGCCTAGTTGCAGCCATTCAAGAGATTTTGCTACTTGGCATCCTGGGCAGCGCATGAAAGCTCACTGCTCCAGAGCGCAGCTTCTGAGCTCTCTCAGTGGTGCTTAAATAGTCAGCAGGACATTGTGGTTCATGCCTGTGATCCCTGCACTCTAGGGGCCTGAGGCAGGCGGAGCGAATGTGTGACCCACCTGGGCAATTTAATAACTAGATAAGGCACTGTCTCAAATGAATAAATAAAAATTTAAGACATTTTTAAAAAGCTGGTGATGTAGCATATTGTAAAGGTCCTGGGTTTGATCCCCAGTACCTCACACACACATATGCATACGTACACTAAACCTCTGTTAAATTTAATTTGCCTCACATGTTTCTTTTAATGTCCATCTGTCACTGCTCAGAAAGCCAGGAATCTTCTTTGTCTTGTTCTCCACCTTACCTAGAATTGTATCTCATGCATAGAACTAGGTTGGGCATGCAGCAGATCCTCAATGACTATTTGTTGGAAGAATTAGAGGTACTTCATGAATATTCATTGGATCAATAAATAAAAATAATTTCAGCTAAACATCTATGGGCTTTGTCTGTCTTCCCCTTTCCCCCATCCCTTTCCCCTTCAGTGTTAAGGATTTAACCAGGGACCTTGTACTTGCTAGACAATGCTGAGCTACATCCCCAGCCCTTTATAAATTTTATTTTGGGACAGGGTCTGATTAAGTTACCCACATGGCCTCAAGCTTGTGACAGCCTGTGTCAGCCTCCACAGTAGCTGGGATTACAGGCGGGTGCCACATGGAATGCATGATCTAGACCATCTAGGTCTGGATTAAGTACACTCTACAATCTTCACACAACGACATTTCTCAGAACATGGCCCTGCCATCAAGGGACCTATTACTATACTAGAGTTCTTTCTTTTTTCTTTCTTTCTTTCTATTTTTTTCAGGGAAGGGTCTACAGGGTGTTTAGGGGTCTCACTACTAGATTGGACTCATAGTGATCTGCATATTTATAATCCAAGAGCTGGGATTATAGGTGCATGGCACTATGCCCAGTCTCAGTGCACCCCGGGGGCGGGGCCGGCACAGCAGGCCCAGGGATCAAACCTTCCGCCCCTGCACCTGATTGCAGGAGCTCTAATCTGCTGAGCTATTTGGCCGGCCTTTAAGAGTTTTCTTTCAATGGGGCTAAAATTGCCTTTTACATGATTAAATAATAAATAAAGAAAGAAGTACATTTTATCTTATAAAATAAGCAAGTCCAAAGGAGCTGTAAGTGAAATAGTCATTAGGTTGCACCTGACAATATACAAATTACAGGGCAAAATTAGTGCAGTGAGTACACAGTTTTGATTGTTCCCTTATAATCTACCACACAGCACTTCTAAGCCATGAAGGAGTCTTAAGAGAAAGTTGGTTATAACTGAGATTTGGTTAAGGTGACTGGGGCCTGGGACTTAGTTATTTTATAAGATAAATGTCCTTATACAGTTATTGGATGCCACTGGTAGTTGCAAATTTCTAAATGAAATTCCTCAGGCTGCTTTGTTACTATGTGGCCTCTCCTAGCATTAGAGAGACAAAGAGATTTTCCAGTGAGCATTCGAAGAGTAGTAGGGGAGTTGACTGGGTGCTGTGGGGAGGTGTGAGGGTTGCGGCAGGTTAGGAGGGAGCTGTGGTCCACTTAGTTTTTCTTTCTCTTGGCTTCACACCTTTGCCAGGTGGCCACTCATCAACCTGATCACAGCTTCTCCTTTGCTATCATGTCGTTGCTATTATTTGACAGGGAGCTTTACATTTTCCTCTTGAAGTACAAATGTATTCAAGCAGGCAGTGATCATATCCCACTGTTACTGGTCCATGATCATAGATGATTTTTTTTTTATCAAAAGACTTTTCTTTGACCACTGTTTTATTGGGTCTCTCTGACCACTTCCCTAAGTAGATTTACTGCTAGATTTTAATACCAGTTCTCAAATCCTTATTGGCAAGAGTTTGATGAGTTTTGCACTGAAATAATAGTAAGCATTGACTGCAAAGCCACTAGTGGTTTTAATACTGGGCACACCCTTACCTGCAAGATGAAGTGCTCAGAGGGACATAAAACAAAACTCACCTTTGCCAGTGATGGAAACCAGGGTACTGGTGAGGGCCAGACTTCTGTCATCACCCAGAGTGAAGTTCACGCAGTACATCCCAGGCCCCTTGAAGGCTCTTCTCACGGTCACCAGGCACGTCTCCTCCACATCTACGCTACTGCAGACCACATCCTGGGCAAGCTGGCAGGAGGGGTCGGAGATGATTGTACAGACTTCCCTGGGGATGCTGTGACATGGCAGGGGCAGGAGAGGGCCCACAGATCACACATAAGGACAGAGGAATGCAATGGTCAGTTTTGAAAAAAGAAAAAGCATTGATTGCATTTCTATAAAATTGGACTCTACCTATGCTTATCTAAATCACAAATGTCAAATTGGAACCTGTGACTGACTTCTAAGGAAGCCTGCAGATGAGCTGTTGTTTCCTCTGCATCCTCAGGAAGGTGAGGTCAGAGGATGGAGGAGAAGAGATGATGCTGCCCGAGGTAACTGGCTGGCAGAAACTGCTAAGCCCAAGTCACTTCCCTTGCATCTTGGGCCCTTCAGAATGTCCCAAGATGCAAGTGGCTTAAGCATTGGGTGAAGATGGTTTTTGCTATCACAGCTGGCCCTGCCTGGGCTCCTGCAGAGGGATGGTAGGAGCAGCACAGCTGGGTTGCAGGGTGCTCCAGGCAAAGGCCTGAGTTCAGATATCAGGTGAGGTCTGGTTGTTTCTCCTCATGGCCTCATGAAGAATGTAACACTAGCCTAGTGTGACTGGTGACAGCCCAGCTCAGGGATGGGAAATAGCTAGGCCAGCGTCACACAAACAGCTCTTTGCTCCTCTCCCTAAGCCAGAGAGCTTCTCAGTCACTCCCTTTTACCAAATTATACTATCCCATTTTCTTGATTACTTGATATGTTCAAACATACATATATCTTATTAACTAAGTTATATATATATATATATATCAAGATATATCAAGTAGTTTATCTGTTAGTATATCATTAATTGATGTAGTTTTTTTTTTTTTTTTTTTTTTAAGACAAGATCTCACTAGGTAGTTCAGCCTGGTCTTGAACTCACTATGTTTCCTAGGGTGGCCTTCAATTCATGGTGATCCTCCTGACTCAGCCTCCCCTAGGATTACAGCCATGCACCACCATGCCTGGCAATATTTATTTATCCATCAATTTTTATATTTAGTTTATTACATACAGTCCTTACCAAATCAAGGAAAAGCAAATTGTGTTAGGAAAAGCACTATAAATTAGGGGGGATTATCATGCAGTAATCCCACATTGGCTTTCTGCCCACCAGAGGAACCTGGGGGAGCAGAAGAGCCAGCTTGAAGCCAGAGCTCTGACCTATGAGCCATGCTTTCTGCCAGCTACCAGCATCTATCTGTGGCCTCACTTGCCTCATCTGTGAAATGGGGAGACTCACAGGATTATTATAAGGATTTAGCACAAGATATAAGGTACTAAGGACACAGTTGTTCCATTGTTGATTATAATTACTATTCACATTAATCAATAGATAAAGGTAATGAGCATTCTCAGTGCTCGTAAAATATGTGAGCACTTGGTAGTACCTTTCTTTTTCTTGGTACTGGGAATGGAACTCAGGACCCTGTGCTTGCCAGTCAGGTGCTTATGTCACTGAGCTATATCCCTGACCTGGTAGTGCCTTCCCATAGCCCTCTGTAAGTCCTTTTTCATCTGGAGCTTCTAATAAATTAAAGAATTTAAATCAATATAGAAGGTACAACTGATGATCAAGGCCCTTGTTTGAACCTAGGGTCCTCATTCAACCCTACTCTCTGGGGGGGGGGGCGAAGTACTCACGTCCCCTCACAGGTCACAGTGAAGTCCATCAGGGAGTGGTCGGGCTGTAGCACGGGCCTCGGGACCTCTGCTATCTGGATGATGCTGATCTCTAGGATTCCATCTAACAAAATAATCAGCATGGGAAAACATCAAAACACAACACAGACAGAATCAGACTGCTGCGCTGTACCCTGAATGCTGTGTCCTCTCAATTTTGCAGGCCAAAATGTGAACCCAGGTGATGGCAGTAGGAGGCAGATCCACTGTACATGATAGGGTTAATGTCCTTATAGAGAGCCCAGGGAGCTCCCCTGTCCCTTCTGCCATGCGAGGACACAGTGAGAAGATGGCTATCCATGAACTCAGAGCAGGGTCCCACCAGACCCCAAAACTGCTGGTATCTTGAGCTTAGACTTCCAACTCTAGAATCACAAGAAATGAATCCCAGCAGTTTCTAAATCACCCTGTCTGTGGTATTCTACTATGGAGGCCTGGTGGACATAGGCACCCAAATGGAGGCAGCCGTGTGGCCAGACAGAAACACTGCTAATCTGGGAGCTGATCTCATCTCTGTGACGCATGCCCAGGACACATTTTCAGTCACACTGAACTGTTGTTTGGTCCAACCTAGAGTATGGATGCGGGTTAGAAAGCAGAGCCCCCTGGCTGGGCAGATGTTTTAGGAAAAGCTGAGCCCTGAGCAGATATAGCCCCCAGGTCAGTGAGTGGCCAGCTCCTCCCAAGCAGAGTGGTGGGGGGCTCAGGCTGGGCTACCTCCCCACCCCCCGTCTTCTCTTAAGGATGACACCTTGGCGCAGTGTCCAAAATGCACAGCTGTGTATGGCGGCCTGTGCATTCCCATTTTACAAACAAGAGTGATTTTGTGAAAAGGAGCTAAGAGAAGTGGGAAACTCCATCCAGATCTTCTTGCAGCCTCGCTATATCCCAAATCCTGATGCTCAGGAGGAATCCAGGCTCAGGGCTGGTCCCTCTATATGGGGGCCTCAAATCCAGCTACTTGCCCCCAGGATGCGTGAGGAAGGAGGGTGAGCAGCCAGAAACTTGGGAACAAGAAAAGCTTTTGCCTGTGCATGTGGCAATGCGATGGGCAGGAAGTGGAGTGTCGTTGCCCCTCCTTTACCTGCCTAGAGTTAGCCAGTGAGTGGGCAACCCCAGCCAATTCTCTCCTCGTTGTTCTTCAGCTTACCTACAATCTTTTTTTTTTTCAAAGTTTTATTGATAAACATATAGCAATGAGACAGTTTCAAATCAAATTTACCTACAATCTTGAGGATAGCTTCAAAGTAACCGTATCTGTTAATCTGGCAGTTTTCATCAGGAATCTCACTCAGCTCCATGGAGTTGTCACTAGCAGGTACTGGAATGTTTAAATAAGTTTTTTAAAAAATAGTTTTTAAAGATAAAATATATGTGCATAACATAACAAAAAATCTAAATACACATATTTTAAAAATCTAAATATACACAAATCTATGATTTATGTATATTATAACTGCTAAATTATGTAAGTAAACATAACCCTTCTTTTTTTCCCATAATTTTATTGATAAACAAATAGCAATGAGACAGTTTCAAATCAAATTGGTAGGACAGTTTCAATAATTAACACATTG